CCTGGCTGCGGTGATGACTTCCTTAGGACACCTTTGGACTTAAGTGTGAAAAGAAACGTTGTTTCTGAGCGGCTTCTTCCCGTAGCTGTCGGCAAACACCAGGTCTGTGTGAGAACAAACGTTCATATGAAGAGATTTTAATTTTTTAATTTATTTTTTTTTTCTGGCAGCTGAGCTCCCGCAATGGTTCGCTACTCTCTGGATCCGGAGAACCCCACGAAATGTGAGCTGTTGGGTTTGGTTTTTTTTTCGTGAAAGTGCGAGTAGGAATTGTTCCGAAGCCCTTGAGGTTTTAATTCCCAAATTTTTTATTTTTTTTTTTCTCCGCAGCATGCAAGTCACGGGGATCCAACCTGCGAGTGCATTTCAAGGTAACGCAGCGTGTGCGTGGTGGGGAACGCGATTGCGTTTGGTTTTGGGGTTTTGTTGGGGTTTTTTTTGTAGGAAGCGTCTTTTTCTTTCTTGTATCATCACAGTTCCTTCAGGGTTGTAGTGTAGGTTGATGGCCTGTGTTTGCTGTAGCTGCTTGTAATGGGTTTTCATCTACAGGATTAAAAATGTGTTTTAAAGAGACTCTTGTCAACACAGATAATAAAATCCAATTGGAAAACTTTTGTGGTGAATTTAGCAGGGGAGGGATTGGGATAGAGTTAGATGGGAGGTTTCTTTCGTGTGTCTTTTTGGTTGTTTGGAGGGAATGTCAGGTTCATCTGATCGTGCTGCTGGTCAGGAGGTGTAGCAGGGGAGACTTGTAGCGTTTGCACGAGGATGTGGGTTCCTCTGGGAAAAGTGTAGGTGCAGCAGTGAATTCAGGACATGTTCGCGTTAACCCCGAACACAAAGCTGAGCAGGTGCTTTTCTGCTCGGTATTGTATAGTGCAGGTGAGAAGAGGTTTCCCTTATTTTTGTTTGTTCTTTAATTGTGATCACGTAATGTCACAGTTACTCTCTGGCATTTAGTATGTTGTATTAAGCACTGATATTTTGTCCTTGATTTTTCGTTCTGAGCCTTTTCTTCTCTGCCATTTATAATTCCTTTACAGAGATAATTAAGTTGTTTGTGGCTTGTTTGTGTAGCCTGTTTTCTCATCACTTCCTTTGAGGTGCCATATTTGACGTTTTAGTAGGAATTTATCTTTTAGGCTCCTGCTTTTTGGGATTAGTGGCCGAGGCGGAGCTACGAAGAGTTATAAATACTCCAATTTTAGTTTTGCTGGTTGGAAACATTTAGCCTCTAGGTAAAAAATAAAAAAAGATGTGTCAGGGTTGCAAATTCAGTAATGGAAGTCATACCAAGAGTTAGAAAAGTAGGTAATGAAAAAAAAAGTTAGCGTTGCTAAATATATTTCATTCCTTAATTATTTTTTTGTGTGTGAGTGCTGCTTTTAAACTGAATTTGTATCAAAAATAGTAGGATCAAGGGAAGAGAGGAGTGCTTTTGCTGCTGGTGTAACTTGGGAAGCTCTGTTAAGAGGGACTCGGTTGTGCTTTGTGTTGCTAGAACACTCGTGAGACTGCCCAGGCCATCAAGGGTATGCACATCCGCAAGGCCACCAAGTACCTGAAGGATGTCACCCTGAAGAAGCAATGCGTGCCCTTCCGTCGCTACAACGGAGGCGTCGGTCGGTGTGCCCAGGTGAGCTCTGAGATCAGAACATTGCTGATGACACCAAACTGAGCGGGTG